CATCTGGGGGCGCCAGGGCGGGGCCCCACCCACATGACCCTCAGCTGACTACAGCGCACGCCACGTGACCAGCGTGACCACGTGACCGCGCACCCTACGGCGGCTCAGCAGCCCGCCCCTTCCCCCGGGCCCATACAAGCACACACACAGATGTCCAGTCACATCCGAGAATTTTATTGGACCCGGCTCTGGGCCTGGCAGGCCCAGCTCATGGCCCCGCAGCTAGGGCTGGAGGACAGTGGTTCCATACAGAAAATCTCAGGGCACACGGTAACCCCACAAAGCGACACTATAAAATTATTATAGTTGGGAGACTGTAGGGCTGCTCCACAGACTTGCGAACAGGTCAAATCTTGATAAATAAACATCCAGTGAAAACGACAACTTGAATTCATCCCTATACACAGAGCACTCTAGGGCAGGTAAATAGGTGGGGGTGGCTAGAAGCCACCATCCTCACTGGTTGGGGGACCTGGATGGGTGATGATGAGTGGGCCCAGATGTCCACGGCACGGGGCGGGTGGGGGCAACAGACAATGGGCACTAGGACACTGCGCATTTACAAGACCAACTACTTGGGGGTAGAGGGGGCAGCTGCCCCGTGCATGTGTATCAGGCTGTTCATTCTGGAATGAGGAGGGGGTGGTCTTTACATCATATCCTGTGGCTGGTGGGCTTTGAGAGGAGCTACTTTGTGGAGAGGATGAGGGCGACGATGAGACCGTAGAGACCCAGCACCTCTGCGAAAATGAGGATCAAGATCATGCCCACGAATAGTCGGGGCTGCTGGGCAGTGCCCCGCACACCGGCGTCACCCACAATGCCAATGGCAAAGCCAGCTGCCAGCCCACTGAGGCCCACACTCAGACCAGCGCCCAGCTGGAGGAAACTCCTGGGGGAGAGAGGACACAGGATAGACATTAGCTGCCTGTTGGGAAAGATGGTAGGCACAGGCCACTAGCCCACTCCCCAGCCCTCCAGCCCTATGCAGTGGCCTGAACCAGGGCAGGGCGGGTGTGGTGGGAGGAACCCAGCACTCACCTGTAGAGACTGATGCCTTCATTCAGGGAGTTGGCGATAAGGACTGCCACCACCAGGCCATAGATGGCAATAATGCCAGCCATGACCACTGGGATAATGGACTTCATGATCAGCTCTGGTCGCATGACAGACATGGCCGCGATGCCAGTGCCACTCTTGGCGGTACCATAGGCAGCACCCAAGGCTGTTGGGAGGAGGCAAAGTGAGCCCAGGCATCTGGAGCCAGAACCTTGGCGGTAGCTCTGACACAACTGAGGGCCACCCCATTATCACAGGGAACAATGAAGGTGGCACCCAGCCAGGGGCAGGAGGTGACCCTCAGGGGAAATGGTCACAGCCAAGCACTCAAGAAACACAGGTAACTGTTCCTTTCTTCTGCCAGAGGTCCTTATGGCTGGGTGGCTTATCTGGGCTCCTGATCTGCTGGGAAACCCCCACCTGTGCTCAGCACTCCCCAATCCTGCTGTACAGCTCCCATGCTCCCAAGGAGTTCAGCTCAGCTGCCCCGATCTAAAAAGTGGAGCTGTAACAGGCTGGCAGCGTCACACAAGGAAATAGGAGCTGGGCCCCTTATGTCTTGCTGAAGATTCTGGACACATTTTGTCCCACCTAGAGTCCCAGGCACTCAGGTCACAAAGGGCCTGGAAAAGCATGAAAAGACTGCATATTGGCAGCCCAGATGTTAGGCCAGGGTCAGTCTGTTGGCCCTAGGGCTATGCCCAGGGCCAACATGCTGGAAGAGCCCCAGGACACACAGGGTCTGACCACTGGTCAGGGAAAGCAACCTGGTAAGTCCTGTTCTCTCAGGCCAGTTTCCTGGACTCCCTACTAAACTCCCTACCACCCTGCCCTGGGACACAATGCTAGGAGGTGGCGTCTGTGCTGATGGGATGAGCACACCCTCAACCATACAGCAGGCCGAGACCCTTAAGTTTGGGGAGGATCCTCTCTCAATAACCAGAGGAGCAAGGGCAAGCCAAGGAGAAGACGGGGTACAGGAAGATAGGGGGGCGTGGAGCCATCACCCAGCCCAACCTTGAGGCCTTGGCAGAACTCCCCGAAGCCTAGCCTCTGCCCAAGGCCTCCAGTAATGGGGGTGGGGCTCTAGGAAGGCCCATTTCCTCTTCCGCTGCCCTCCTCTTTCTCCCTAGAGTATGCTGCCTTCCTGAAAGTTCCCCTCTCCTGGCTTGGAAGTCTAGAGTAACGTTTGCCCAGAATAGAGGGCCACGGCGGGTCAAGGCAGCTCTTCTGACTCAGTCACCTGCTCTCCAGGGTTCCACTGCACTTCTTGAGCAGAGGACAACATGGGTTGGAGATGGAAGGGACCAAGACAATCCTGGCCATTCCTCTGCACATTCTTGTTCACCTATGTGGGCCACAAGGTATCTACTTTGCGCAGGGGAGACCTTAGAGGGTCGCTGCCTTCCTAGGGCTCTAAGCTTGGGGAGGAGACAGATATAGCACCTCCACCCACAATGACATGTTCCAGGAGAGTGGGGAGGAGGATAGTGATGGGGTCTGGGAAAGGGCTTCGTAGAGGTAACATCTGAGTGGAGGGGTGATGATGAGCAGGAAGATTCCAAACAGCCTGAATGGAGATGCTAACTAAGATAGTGCTGGATGGGGACCTACTGGAGGGAGGAGGCAAGGGTGAGGAAAAGGGACTTGAATTGCCTCCTCCCCATGGTCCCGGAGGCACCTTAACACTGCCTTGCCTAAACATTCAGCAGCTTCAGCCTGGGGCCCAGGGCCTCTGTCTTCATGAAGCCTTTGCTGGAATTCTCCTGGTTGCAGTGCATCCTTTGGGCTCCTAATGGAGGCCCAGCATGTCAGGCTGTCACGTATGTGCAAGGGGCCAGTGCCATGGCTCAAGGGTGAAAGCACAGGCGGCCACATGGCACTTAGTGGGAGATGGTTTCAGGGAACTCAGCATCACAGGCATTGGAATACTGCGAGGGGCAGGAAGTGAGCTGGGCCCGTCTCTCAGAGGGCAGCAGGGAGATCATGTAGCTGGGGCTGGGATGGCCACAAGAACAAAGGGAAGAAACAGGAATGACCATCAGGAGAGAAAAGCAGTCTGGCTGGGGAGCAGCAGGTGGCTGAGAAAGCCCTGGATGGCTCTGAAGGCCAAGCCTGATGGGGCTCCAGATCCAATGGGAGACTGCGATTAGATGGCCGTTCCAAGAACACAGCACCAAACACAGGTGTCTACCAGCAGGGAGGAAGTCACAAAAATTATGGAAAAGGAACAACTGACAGCTTCGTGGAAGACATGATGAAGATTCGACTGGATTTATTTTGGTCACAAGTTAAAAAAAAAAAAGAGGAAGCTGAAGTGGGAGATGGAGATTGGGGAGGCCTGAGAGTGAGCGGGCCTCATTCAGTTGTAAGAAGACCAATCAGCAAAGCACTAGGCAGGCCAGGGAATATCTAGGCCAGGAGCTGGGGACAGAGCTTGGAGTCGGCCAGGCAGCGACACCTGAGGCCTGAGCACTGAGGGGTTTGTTCTCATAGGCACAAGGAGGTAGATGAAGACAAGCCTTGGAGAAGGACATATTTAAAGGAGAAATGAAATAAGTCAACCACAATTAGCCCCATGTAGTGAAAGGAGGAGTGAAGCTGCATGCAGAACAATAGGAATGAATGGCCTCAATACCCAGGAGCTTGGGACAAGCAAAAAAAGCCCTGGATCAGTGCTATCCTGTTCGCAGTAACTTTCGGAGCTCTGCTGGTCAGGCTCCATTGGAAGTACCAAGTAAGCCCTGGACGGTTTGGCTCAGTGGATAGAGCGTCAGCCCGTGGACTGAAGGGTCCTAGGTTCAATTCTGGTCAAGGGCACATGCCCAGGTTGTGGGCTCGTTCCCCAGTAGGGGGCAGGCAGGAGGCAGCCGATCAATGATTCTCTCACCATTGATGTTTCTCTCTCTCCCTCTACTCTGAAATCAATAAAATACATTTTTTTAAAAAGCAAGTACAAAATAAGTTCTAGAAGGAAGAGAGGCACCTGGTAATCAGAGGGAGACCAGGAGCAGGATATAGATAAAGGGCTTAACAGGCAAACTCAGCTTCAGGAGCAAACAGTGACAGCCAGAATTCCGGGTGGGCAGGCATTGTGTTTTATTCACTTATGTCTCCAAGTGGCTGGCACATAGTAGGAGCTCAATCAAGACTTGTTGAATAAATGACAGCCACCAGTAGCACCCCAAGGAGACCAGGTAAGGCAGAATCTCTGGAGGCCAAGCACAGAAAAGCCTTTGTAAGCAGGCCCGGCAGCCTGCTGGGAGGTTCTGGGAAGCAGTCAGCCCCTGAAGATGTGGAAAGAGCAGGCACTGGCTAGAAGGGAAGGGGAAGTCAGACTTCTCCCACCACAAATGACCTCTTACTGGCACATGATAGAAAGGACAGGGCTCACTCAGCAGCTCGTGACTGGCAGGCAGGCTCAGGGAAAGGGAGGCCTCCCAGAGAGCAGAGCCCCCCAAGTCCCCACCTCACAAGTGTTTACAGTCAGCAGAGACTGTTTGGAGTTCAAACCCTCCACATACCTGCATCGGGAGCCTACCAATTCATCAGGTAGGGTGGGGCAGGGCGTGGTCATCAAAGCCAAAAACCAGACCCAGACCAGGCCAGACCAGTCCATGGGGGCTGCATCTGGGCCAGGACTCACCTCCCTGGGTGGCACATTCCTGAGCCTGCCCCCAAGGATCTTTCTCCCAGGCCAATTTTCACTAAATTCAACACCCCAGGACTGTCAAGGCCCAACTTCAAAAGCAGGGTGCCATAGAGAACGCTGGAAGGCCCCTTTCTCCATGCCTAGGGCAGCCCTTTCCAATACCAGGCCTTGCGGAAAGGAAGGTAGGTCATTCACTCATTCATTCATTCATTCATTCATTCTCATTCATTGGGGCCTGAACTAGAACACTCTCCTGGGGACGGAGACCCAGTCCCCTCAATGCTGAGATTTTCTGTGCGACCCACTCCCAGGCAAGCGTCCACACATCCCAGCGCTGATGCTGGCCCGACTCCCATTGTCCTCGGCTGTCTCAGTTCCAAACACTCCCACCCCTGGTTCCTGCCGACTCTCAGCATCAACTTCTCAGCCCAGCTTTCCCAACAAACCCACACAGGGCTATTGGGCAACAGTGACAAGCCCTAACCGGAAGCACCTGCCTCAGGGTTAGACCCATCGGACCGGGACGGGGGAAGGAGGCGATGGAGGGAAGGGCTGGGCACCTCGGCTGGGAGCACCGGGTCCCGATCCCCCATCCCCACCGCCCACGGACAGGGCCGGCTCTCTGTCTGGGGAGCTGTCTGGGGTGTGATGTCACGCCTTCCCGCAGGACCCGGGGGGGCGGGGGGAGGAGGAGGAGGG